GATTTGTGCGGGTTTTGACCAACATGGAGTTCGACGTCCGATTCACAATTAGATAATTTTATACAATTTATGTATATCAAATATGTATTGCAGTTCTTATTTGGTTGTCATTCAGCCAAGGGAGTTTGGGAAATCCTCCTCATGCAAGTCCTTGTTTAATTCCTCAATTTGTCCACATCCTCACATCCATTCCCGAGGCAACTCCAGGCCCTACCGGTACCGGCTTCGTTTGGGACGACAGCCATGCTGCTGGGCCAAGACGACAGCTCACGGGTGGAGTCAAGTCACAACGACAGGTGGGGCAGCGCCTCAGCATGAGACTGGGTGTTCTCCGAGTCTTAGGACCCATATCGGTTCTTCAGGACCCATACAGAATCCGATCAACACATTCATCGGTTTTTGAACCACGTTCAGCGCCGAGCTGCTCTCCTGGTTTTTGGTCTTCGACCTCTGGTTTTGAACGTGTTTGAGGCTCAAAACCTCACCCCTCCTGAGGTCGTGACGAACTTTCACGTGGTGAGTGAGCTCAGCAATCCCCATGTGACCTTCTTGCGCAAGGCGCCCTTTGCGTTTCGCCCGCTTGCTTCATATAGGCCCATTTCGCCGCTCAAACTGGGACTGCCTGGGCAAAGTTTAACTGAATCCATGGGAGAGAGGGTTCCGCAAAATCGTATTCTCTTCTGTGAATCACCCAATATGCCAGAAATCAATACGCATGTGATGACGGGGACGGCATGAGATGACTTCCCTCGGCATGATTCTGAGAATGCGGTGCCAAGCTTTGTGCAGGGCGAGAATGGCGCAGATGAACATGTCACTGTCGGTGCCAAGCTTTGTGGGAAGCGGGGGTGGGCCCCCAATCCACCACTGTGACAGTTGGTAAAAGTAGTCTATATAATTGTATGTTAATGTTCTGATATATGTGTTGACTCCAGCTCCCTCTTGCCCGTGGTCGTCGTCGTCGTCCTCCTCCTCCTCATCATCATCACCATCACCATCACCACCACCACCACCACCACCACCATCATCATCATCATCAACAGCGACACTCGGAAGCCAATGCAGTGGCGCAGGTGTCCCAGGAGGTCCCAGGTGACTTCCATGTGATGCGTTTGCCAGTTAAAGTACTTCCGACTATCGACCTACCTTACCGTGGGATCAGTTCAAGCACTGAAGTCGTGGGGAAAATCCGAATCCTGTGCCCCACTGGTCATCGAGTTCACCAAGTTTGTATGAGGAAAAGAGGTTCCAGGGAATCCCAAGGTTCCATGTGAATCTTCGGAGTCTCGTCCCCACATGTTCTCATTGATGAAGATGTATTTGATGAAGTGGAGCCGCATCAAAAATGCAGGACTTTGCTTTGACGTTGCCATTTCAGGATCTTCCTTGAGCTCATCTGAGCAAACAAGCGTCGCTCCTGGATCCTGAAGCAATAAGATTGCCAGCCTGTCCAAGACACTTTGAAGCTCCTCCAATGCAAAAATCTTTAGAGCTCCTGCTACACAGCAGACTCCAGTGACTTGTCACCAGCACATCCCGCAATGAGAAAGCATACGGATCTTCAAATGAGAAAGCGCATGGCCTCAGCTGCCTTTTGCTTGGCACTGCTGGCTGGAAGTAAGGTGCGCCCCGAAGTCAGGATGCATGTGAGTGTTGATGCATGTGATTGCATTGTTGCAATGTTTTAACCTCTGGTGTTTTAGGTGTGTTTGTGGATCAATCTCATTTTTCCGCATACGTTTGGACACCACCATCAGCTCGGTGCTGAACTCGTTCTGTGGAGAGTCGTTGCATCACATGTCGACCAGGAAATCCCAGTGCTCAATCCACCAAGCTTTGCGAATCGGGTGATGTTGATTTGTTTCCCGATGGGCAAATCCCGCGGCATGGGGATGTTATTTTATAGTGCTTTATATGTGTTTTGTTTATATTGTTTCATGTTGTTTTATTCCTGTTCTTTATATAAGCAAATCCATGGTTTTTCTATCTCTTGTGGTGAACGGTGCTTTGGAAGACGGGATTCACTTCCTCTGGAACCAGGGAACGAGTCTTTGACGTGCAAAAACCCAACGTGCGTCCTTGGGTCGACGCGTGTCAGTCCATTTGGATACATACAGGATTGTCCTGGATTATAATGCATGTAACAGATAAAAGACAAGCCTGAACTGGAAAGCACGGGTGATCTGCCTTTCAGAGATTCACAGTGCAGTCTGGATTAAATTACACGCAAAACACATGCAACTCAGCTGCTTCGTGCTGCCGAACCGGGCCGCCCGTGTTGGCGAATGTGAGGCGGAGGCGCCTCTGCCCAGCGACGAGTGCGAGGTGTGGGAGTTTGTCACGGTGCCGTGGTCGACGTTAGCACGCAATGATGTGCGGCAAGAAGTCAGAAGCGCCTTGTACTCCACCATCTGTTTGAAAGACAGGTGTACCGAGTATACCACTCTGACTTCTGGTTGCCGCAAAGGATTTCTTTTGATCTAAAAACAAGACAGGCGACCCTTTTTTTCCAGTGCGCACATGTTCTCCCACCGTGGGCCGCATGGATGGTGGCCCCCGTGGCACCATGGTCCGTGTTTTGGTTGCTGATTTGGCCGCCAGTCTCAGCCATTCTCAGCCTATAGTTGGGCGCAACAAAATCGGGTGATGGAAAGCTTCAGCCTGCCGGGTCCTCGTGCTCGGTGAAAGGGCCTGAGCCTGCGAAACTGACGCACCAACCACTCGGGGGGCGAAGCATGGGGCGTTTCTGGCGGTTCCTGATTCAGTGCCACGGAAGCGCCCGATGGGGCGGAGTTCCTGCCACCTCGCAGGCCCTTGGTAGTTTGAACTGCAGTGCCTCAGGCTGCAGATGTGGCAAGGGTGTGGAAGTAAGAAAGTCCCGAAAGTTAAAATACATATATCCCAAAGAACTGGATTGATGCAAATCACTTGATGCACATAATTTGACTACAGCCATGGTGCATTGGTTCCCCAAATCATTTCTTTTGGTTCGGACACTGGGCTACATCCATGATCTGTGAGTCAAAAAAACAAGGACAAGACACCATGGGCGACATCCCAAGTCGTCGACTAGTGCTTGTGGCTGGGTGTCACACCAGCGACATCCAGCGACGAACTCAGGGGTCCCCAGGCCGTTGGGCTGCCCTGAGGTTGAGGACTGGCATCAGGGCAGTGTGGGTCAAACTGGGTTGAGCACTTGACATCTTAAAGAGCTGGATGCCCAGCTGGGTCCTCCAGGCAGACAGCTGGGTGTCATACTGGACCCCAACATCAAACCATGACCTTTGCGACCCCAGTGACACACCTTCGGTTCGCCAGGGCTGGATCCTTTGTACGGTAACATGTTGTAACCACCGGGTAGCAGAGCACATACATGATTTATCATGATATATACATATTAAATCAATCATTTCATCTCATGTCCCATTCACGAGGATCATTTCCGGGCCTCCCATGCCAGAGAGACCCATGGTGAAAAGAGAGTTTGTTCCCGAATCTTCTGAACAATCTACCCAGCTACTAGTAACAAGAAGCTACGAACGGTGCTCCTGGCCATACTACTAGGAGCGATCGGACGCCACGCACGGGGCTCCTGGCATCGCTTCACAAAGGTGATGCGATGTCTGAAGAGACCCTCTGAGTCTTCAGACATCTGTGGGTTCAATCCGACTCAATCAATCCGAGTCAATCAATCGATGTTTCAGTCACTGAAACATAGAGCTGCAAGAATCTCCCGGCACATGCAGTTGTTTCATTCCTCTTTCGACAGGTCCTCCAATTCGTCCCTCATTCAGTGAAGTTCTTGAGGCCTATCTTTGCGACAGCTCAGGGCCAGTGCCCCAAGTCTGCTCAGCTGCAGGAAGCGTCGGGTGTGACTCTTCCGATGCCCAGGGCTTCCCACCCGACCAAGCCCACAGACGCTTTGTGGTTGCAGACCACCCCATGGTGACGTTGCAGAGTGTAAGTCTTGCAGCCGTAGGCTGTTTGTCAAGCTTTATCAAGGTACGGTGGGATCTCAGGGATAGACTATGTTGTAGACTCGGAAGAAGTGGTGCAAACCCATTGGGTTCTCAGTCGACTTTGCTTAGATGGGCTCCGGACTTCACATGGGTGTTTGAGGAACAGCAAACATGGTGCTTTTGCCAGAATGAAGACATTTCAAGAGACACATCAAATATCATCAAATGTTGGAAACACGAGCTCAATGTTGGGCTCCCAGACTTGCGTTATTTGTTTGGCAGGTTGACTGTTTCATGCCTGAGGTTGCGTAGCCCTTGGATGTCATGGCAGCTATGTTTCTTGGAGGAAACTTTTGCACTTAGAGAGGGAATGTTTGGGATTGAATGCACAAGATTTCCAGGAACGAGTGATTGACCTGAAGATCTGGCGGAAAAGAAACGGCATGGGTTTGCCACTTGAGTGCAGCTAGCTCCCGTGGAAGAGGATTGATGCAGTTCATCCTCCTCGGGATCAAGGGACCCGTTAGATCCTGTTAGTAAGTTCATTTTTGTCCAAGCAATGCACTTGCAGTATGATCGAATGTCATAAGTTATAACCTAAGGCTGCCTCCAAAAGCTCCCCCAGGCTGTTGGAGACCCCATGACAAACCAAAGATGATCAAAGATGGAAGGGGGGGGCAGTTTGAGAGTCAAATTAATGATCGTCTTTCATAGGTCTTTGAAGATCCTGACCAGACTTACCAGATCCCAAATCTACTTGGACTTGAACTTGAACTTGGTCCAGCCCCCTTCCAACTCGACCCCGTTGGAAGGCCGAGGCTTGTCTCCGGATCCGCCCCAAACAGGTGAGAGGACGATCCTGTCAGTGTACTGCTCAATGTGATCGCCACGGGCATCTCGGCGGACCGGACTGGTCTCTGGTCAGCGGTCGATGGGAAACTCGGGTGCTGGTCGGCGAAGGACTCTCCAAAGACCCAAAAAGCATACCAAAAACATACCCAAAACTAAACACTGAATGCTGTATCACCATGTTATTTGTACTTTCTTCTCCGAGTGAGGGCTCAATTCTTCCCTGGCTCAATTGGTCTCCGGTGCGATGAATTGAACATAATTACGATGCTCCCAGTCTCTCCACCATTCCAAAAGCTCTGCGCGGAACTCATGGAACATGTAGCGATGAAAGCTGGTGCAGCGCCTACAGCGCTCAGGAATTGCTGCCCAGACTACAAGCAGTATTGTTTGATGGCAGACATCCCGTCCCTTGGCATACCTCAACAAGAGCTGGTCTTCATTTTTCATCCCGCACATTTCGGACTGACATGTTTAATTGATTTTGTAAAACTGAATGGACTTATGCTTGTTCTGCATGCTGGAATCATATATGCTTGGAAGTGGTTAGGAGGAGTTGTGTAGGAGTTTGGAGTTGGGAACTTCGAGAGGCCCTGGAACATGGCAAGATGATAGCACTGGCTGTACTTGGTTAGTGTTTTTTTTTTCCGGAACATCCACCTTGCCTGGCAAGCTCACCAGGTCACCCAGGTCGGACTCACCCGGTCTGTCGGACTAGCCTCTGGACCAGCCGACCTGAACACGGCGGCCTGGACTCGCCCCCCGTTGCCCACCCCAAACGCCCACCACCAGCGGTGAGAGCAGCGTTCGGGAGGACTTGGAGCGCCAAGGCTGACTCGACCTGAGGCCTGAGACTGAGCTCCAGCTGCAGAAAGTGGATGCCTTCTTGGAGGAGCAACCACGCCAGAGCTTTCTGAGGCGCAAAACGGGAAGTTTCTCTGAGCTTTTTAGGAACTAGGAAGGCACAGAGAAGGCAGGTGAGCAGTTCCCATTCAATCACACCCAATGGGTCAACAAGGCCAACAAAATCTCCCTTTCCCTTTCGTTTTACCTTGCTTCCGGAGCTCTCGCCAGGCATGGTGGACTTTTACAGACCTTTGGTTCTTCTCTGGGTGGTGGCAACTGTGGTGACTTGTGCACCTTGCCCGCCACTGGGCAGCACAACCATCGCTGCAAGGTTTGTTCGATCGATGTTCCCCCAGACATGAACAGTTTTTTCCCAAATGCGTAGCGAAGTGTTCTCGTTTATAGTGGGGGTGTAGGGGTACCAGTGGCAGACTAATTACCCCTGGTAGACCACCACTGGCAGACTACCACTGGTAGACTACCACTGGTGAGCGACTACCACTGGTAGACTACCACTGGTAGACTACCACTGGTAGACTGCGCAGGGTAGATTTGAACCACCAATGCCTTCTCAACTTCTCAACCCTATCGATACAAAAGCTTGACGACTCTGGCTAAGGACAATTGGCCCCATGCACCTATTTAAAAAAAGGGTGGCGTAGCAATGTTGTCTAGGTTTTGCTCGCGCGCGCACTGGTAGACTACCACTGGTAGACTAGACTGCGCAGGGTAGATTTGAACCACCAGCGCCTTCTCAACCCTATCGACGCAAAAGCTTTTGGACTGTGTTCGCCTCGCGTGCTCTATGTCGTCGTTTGTCGTCGTCGTGGGGTGCGGTGAGGGGCGCTGGGGTGATCGGTTCACTTGCCTTGCTAAGCATGTCGCCATGCAGTTGTCCCCATTGGTGGCCGATCAAAAATATGTTCAGTGACCTTCATGAGTTGCCCCCCCCCACGCTGACCTTAATTAGATCCGATTTGGATCCAATAGTTGATTTTTTTCCGACATGTTTTGTTAAACCTGTTTTTGCTGTTTGGGTCGACCTGCGTCAATTGTTTCAAGCTTATTCTTCATTGTTCTAATGCTTTTGTTTGCCCTTCTGCGTGATGTTTTGCTTGCGAGTTGACTGTTGCAGACCTCATGTCCAATCACCCATCGCCATCTAGAAGGACCATTCTTTGTTTGTCGAACCACCCAAAAGATCGTTTTTCGCCCACATTGCACCCCCGTGCTATCCAAAAGCAGTCACTCAAAGAATCACTCGACTCAAGGGGCCCTTTTCGGAGTGGGTTATGGCCTCTCACGGTGCGTGGCGCCTCTCTTCTACTTCCGGTCGCCGCGCGCCCTTCTGAGGAGCACTGTCCGGAGTTTGGTAGCTCCAAGCGCTGCCGCTTTGATGTCTATGACAATGCAGTGGCAGATGCTTGGCTGCGTGCAGGATGATCTTATAGCCTGATGTGCAGAGTCTGTTTCACTGACTCCTCGAGAGCGGAGTGGGTTTGGTGTACATTAGGGTGGTTTCAGAAGTTTCAGTCAATAGAGAGGTATATTCATACAATTTCATAATTTCTGATCGACTGTCAGTTTTTGATTATCCTATTTTTCAAGCTCCCTTTGTGATGAGGGTGTGGCACTTGCCCATGTATTGGCCTTGCCACCATAGATTTCGATTGATCCAGGATTTCATGGATCCATTAAGCCCGTGTCTGAGGCGATTTACTTGACAAAGCGTGGAAAGATTGAATCTGCTCGAAAGATCCTTGATGCATTTCTCCACTTGCCTCTCGGCAGCGAAAGATCTGGGCCATGCACCAGGCCTCTTGGGATGCCAGAAAAAATCGGCAAGAAACTGCTGTACCCCAAGTGTGTTGTGAACCAAGCACCGTCTTACCGGATATGGCACCATAGGGGAGATTGATTCCTGGGACTGTTTACATTTTGCATGGACGAAGATGGTGTGCTTTTGGTTTGTCCCAAACCATGGTTCCCTGCAGACTGGATCTTGGAAACAGTCACAAAACAACAGCCGTCACGACATGACGGTCAAGATTATATGTAAATGATGAGCACTTGCTGCTGACGTCAGAAAAAGAGTCTCACTTTGAACAAGTTGTTTGGAGATGGCTCAGTTGTGGGGTTGTGGGCCATGGCACCCGTTTTTTTTGTTCATTGCTTATATAGGATGACTCATCCAAATCGATCAGTTCTTCCACGACTTCCCGCATGTCAGGCAGTATACGTCCCCAACCTCCAACGTCTCGCTCCCGCGCATGCGCGTGCTTGCGAGTGCTGAGTGCCCAAGCAGCTGCAGGTTGTACCCGCCTCTGAAGATTCCACACGTCACTTTTGGACGCCGTGATGGGCTTCCATCAGGCGCACCTAATGTGGATGGGGCATGGGATGTGGTGAAAGTTGAAAGAAAGGTTTTTTGGGGGTATAAGTTTGCAAAGGTAAAGCCAGGGAACGTTTGGACCCGAGGTTTGGTGTCAAACATAATGTGTGTATGTGTGTGTAGTCTGTGTAGTAGTGTTTTGGGTAGTTTGGAGACTTCCTTACCCTATCCTTGCTTGCTTTTGGCGAGCCGTATTCCTCCAGTTTCCCCATTTTGTAGTTAACTACTTGACCCCACATAAACACCACCATTTGCTTACTTACTCGTACGATCAAGGAAGCTGGAAGATGGTAGGCTGTTTGGTAGCTCACGGTGGACGCTCGACCGTTTCTTCCCTGACAGAGTGGCCTGTCGCAAGTGTTCAGATATGTTCAGAATATTTTCAGATAGAGTGTTTTGATGTTTTTTTCAGTTTGTCTTCTATTTGTCAGACATGAATCAAACATAGGGCTTGGAGATTGGCTCATACTGACCACCCACTTCTTAAGACGACGCCCAAAGGGCCCAAAGGGCCCAAACCGGCGCCGCGTTGCGTTGCCAGGCAGATGGTTAACCCTCATTGGCTCGTCATACACCGACTCCGAGGCGCCGAAGAAGAAGATCGAATCGTCGGATCGAGTCTGGATTTTCAGAGACTGGGTTTAGACTTTTTATGATCTTGGTTTAGACTTGATCAAGAGCACATGGATCTTGGTTTAGTCTGATTTGATATGATTTTTTATGATCCATGTGCTTCTTCGACGCCGGTGCGTCGCAAGAGAAACGATGCAAAAAAATGCCAAATAAAAGATCCATGTGCTTTCGAGGATTCTAGGCAATTTACAAGCTGCAGACAGATTGTTTGGTGCCTCTCAAGCAGCGATGCAGGAATTCAATCAACGCCTCGAAGCATCAATCAACCGCAGATGCTGTTGGGGCGCGCTGTTGATCTTGTCGATCCTGTTTTTGTTGTTACATGTTGTGACATGAGTTGTGGATCTCAACCGGAAAGGGGTTCGGAGTTCAACAGTCAGTCTATCCTTTCAACACACAGCGGTGTCTCAACAACGCCTGGCTACAAAAAGGAAACACGGTCGGATGTCGTCATCCTTCCACACGCATGTAGAGGGAACGTGCGCAAGTCTGGCGCATTTTAACCACGTTGGCTTTCCAGAATGCAACGTTTGCATGATCTGCGGGCATGCTCCAAAACCCTGGCAAACGATAGGGGACTCACCAAACGCACATCATCAATTTTGACCGTACCTCAGGTCTTGCAACAGTCTCATAGCATCGATTGGGGTTCGAGACCCCTATCACACCACGGCCACGGCCACGTTCGTGCGCGGTGCGCGGAAACGGAGAGCAGGTGAAGCCCGGAATCTATTGGGGCAAAAACGTGGTGGATGGCGGAGTCGACACAGGCGAGCCGGTGGACAGCTGTGGAGCTGACATACCAAGCGACCAGCTGAGTGAAGTAAGGTGAGGTGAGTGGGTCGAGGTGGTGTGTTTGAAGTGATTTACAAAAAGCACAGGTCTGACGAGTTGACGAGCACAGCAGATGCTCCAAATCCGAAAGATTTCGCACATCTCCAGCTGCTTCCAAGGGGTCACCAATGGATATCTCCACACTACTTACAGGTCTCCATTGGGCACCTCTTGGAAGCGCTAGGCGCGTTCAATGTCTTTTGGGATGGTTTGGATTGATGATTCACACGCAGAATTTGAGAGCAAACTGTGTGTCATTTTAAATGTTTCTTGCAAAGTACTTAGTATCAGTGTAACCTTTGCATGGCACAGCCCAGAACAGCCGTTGCAGATCTCTTTTCACCTTCTATGGAATTTGGTGGGTCATACCAGTGGAAAACGCATCAACCTAATTGAATCATAGACGGAATCATGTCCGTCGTGGATGGCATGGCCAGTTGGATGACCATTCTTCTGAATACCAAACAGGTGGTGTCAGCTTCCATTATTGTATATTCCAGGGAGTGTAAGAGTACCACCAGTTCCGACTTGGGACCCTCTGAGGGAAGCCCCAACAGTTTGAGGATGATCTTGAAGGTCACGACTGTCGTGCTGGGGTATGATAGGTTGTGTTTCATGTCTCACGGATGTGTCACCTTCCTGTTAGAAGATGTTAGAGTTGATGACCAAGAAGATCCAAATAGATCCAAGATGTGCACACTGAGAATCAACGATGATCAGGAATCAGGACGTTGATCATATGTTGGGTTTGTCCTATTACCTGTAACAGTCAGTACACAACTATTACTCTTTTTGAACAAGGCCAACCAGGCCCCATCATCCACTAGTTACAGGTAGACTCGGATAGACCCAGTCCTTGCCCGGAGTCCTGCTACTACACCGTGCTGACACGCTTCGGAGTTGTGAGACCGGCGGTTCATTCAAACCGGCCGAGTCCAGACGAACGGGCGGCAGGCAACAACGCTTGGGTTGGTCTTGCACTGGCACAGTTTGCGGCCGAGACCGGCGAATCTTGCTATTTGGTTGGCCTGGCCTGGTTTTTTTCTGGTTCTTCGCTTGTCCTGCAAGGTCGATGTTGCTTCGACCGACCGGGTCATGGCTTCGTTGCAACGTATCTCTGGAGGTCTAAGTATCGCATTGCGACCCGGCGTGCTATGACTTATAGCAACAGGATGCAAAAGGAACGTATTCCAGGACCCCCGTGGCACGGGGGTGTCTATTAGTAACCCGGAGGTGATATGACTATAGGGCTCCAACCACATCCTCAGAAGGTAGCTAGACCCCAAAAACCTACCCCAACCACCTTCGTTTCACGGAGGTGGTTGGAGTTGCAGGGTAAGGGGTGTCTATGTTCACCACCCAACTCCCATGAGTCCTGGTGGTCGAGCTTGCGGGTCATACGACTCATCGGTCGTGGGGTCGTGAGTGCCTCGGTGGTGGTCGTTGAAGGATGACAGAATCACACTGGTCTGGGGGGGATTTGGCATTGGTGATGCCTGAATCGTTTTTGTGTTCATTTGGCATTGATGAAAGGTGATGCCCCGTTTCGGCTGACAGGTCTGCAGGTTCGGTTCTTCCCAACTGCTGCTGTGTTGAAGCGGGACCGACCTCCTTTTCGCCCAGCTTGAGGGAGGTTTTGCAAGGTTTTGCCCCAAAAGACCATGATGATCCATGGTGATTGGCAAAAGCGCCAACGACCACTGAGATCAACATGTACCCTTGCACTTGTCATTGAGTTGTATTGTTCTCTATGTCGTATTTGCCAATACAGCTGACTACGTAAATCCTGTATACATGACTGCTTGCGGATGTGGATTTGGATGTGCATTCGAGCACTGCAAACATGCCTGTCATGACGATTGTTTGAAGCGTGGTCCTATCCTGAAGAAAAGCGTCCGAACTCCATCGACCTTGAAATCTCATGTTTGAAGTTCCCAATGATCCAGATGAAGACCAGGCTGAAGGCGGCCAACGCTTTGGAGGACAAATGATCAACGCTGGAGCAGCACGCTACCGGAATGAACAATTGGGTGTGTTTGCGCCATTTGGCACCCTCAAACAGATACGTGATGGAACACTTGAGCCATAGACATGTACGACAGGTGGACGATGATCCTCAAAAACAATGTTTGACTATTTGAGATGTGAGTGTTCACACATGCTCACCTGCAGCCCAGCCTTCAAAGAAAACATATTATGTGCCTATCAAGTGCCTATGGCCCGCAGATTTCAACACCCCACCCCAGTGCCTATGGCCTACAAGTATGTTTTAAAGGGAGACACAACACCCCCTGTGGAACCTCCAATCTATCCGACCGACCCAGTGAACGTTCGCGGCGACGAATCGGACGTGGACGCTGCCAGGTCGCTGCGCAAGACATCCTGACGGCCCTTAAGAAGGGGGCTGATTGCGATGACAAGCTTTTGGGCTATATGGCCAAGCTCAGGTGTGGTGGGTCAACTGCGAGCGCATTCACGGCAGTCATAGTTTCAGTCACAGTTTCACTATGTTTCACTTGTCAAGGAGTATTCTAGACATTTCTAGACGTGCTTTGTTTGGCACTTGGACAGGCTTTAGTCCGAGGATCTGTTCCACGGACTACAAAGAGACCTAAGAGAACAGTACCCCGTCACCCACCATTTGACAGGGAGTTTGTAGGAACTTCGGGATGCTGGTTGATGCTTCGGGCGGAATGTGATCCGTTCGGAATGGCAACTGGGACGGTCAGACGAACGACGGATTGCCCGGACGCGTCGTTCCTTCTGTTGTTTTGGTAGCAGTAGCACCAGGTCATCCCCACCCGGAGTCGCTGTGATGTGTGATATCTCCTTAAGTGGCTATAAAAAACCCCTTTAAAGGCTGCCTTTCTTTCCACCTGGGCGGAGTCCTCCCCCCCGCCCAGCCTTTCTTTAGCCTCACAACCACACACCCCACGCACCTGTTCCACCCACACTGTGAAATGGCACGGCGCACGGATGTCCGGCGATCGATGAGCTCAGCCTGCGATGGTCCAGGCCATATCCAGCCAACTACCGCTCCACAGAGCCGCTGGGAGAGCGCAGAGCGAGTCATGCGGGACGTGGGAGCGAGTTCACGTGATCACGTGGGAGGACGTGGGACGACGTGCAGCAAAAACGCTGGTTGCGGCACGGTGCATGTAACGAATGTTAGACTGCAGTAGATACGTACATGATCGTACATCTATGAATTATAGTGTTATAGGTTCATTGACATGACATGTTTGACTTGTTGGATTAATCTCTACCGTCTTCTGTTTTTGCAGATGACTGATGACTGTTCTGTTTGTTTGACTTGTTGATTAATACTATACATATTAATACACAACCCTCCTATGATTATGGAGATGTTTCACATGTTTGATGGGGCGATGCATCCGAAATGACGGCGACCCGATGGGCACACACACGCGGTCGTCCACCAGAACACCCTGATACACCATGTCTCCGATGCTTCAATCGAACGGAAGCACGGTGTCCACGTCACGCGGCGTCCAACGGAACCAGGCACAATATCGACGTCTTTGCCCTCGCCAAGATCTTGGGAGACGAGGAGAGCACAAATCAAACCACGCGGTGAGGTCGGTCGCGACAGATAAACGCTGTATTGCTGATGAGATGACACGAACTGCCAAATCTGATGGCGAGTGAATCACGCGTGAATCACTTGTCAATACAATATGCAATGCTCACTTGTTTTTTGTTACGCGCGAACATGTTTGCCATTCTGTTTGTAATCATTGATGCATCTATTCTATCTCAGGTTGTCATATCAGTGACAAAGGAACAGCGCCAGGAATGAAACTGGACATGTTGGACCATGGCCATATGACCGCGATTTGGTCGAAGTGGTACCCAAAAAATCTATGTCTCCGGACCCACGTGTGAGGTTGTGAGAAAGGTGAAACAGCCAAGGGAAAGTTTTCTTTACAGAGACGCCTGGCAGGGTATTTTGTTCTATGCGTTGACCCTTAAAAGCATCCAATCTACGCGAATCTTCCTGTCCCATCAATGGTTTGAGGGTTCACCAAAGTAAACCAACTTTTTTGTGGTGTTTTTGAAACAAACACACCAAGCTTGCCTGTTTCTTCCCAGTTGCTCTGGATGATTATTATCACCACCGGCTGCTATGCTACCGGTTTTGCTACAGCCGAATTTGGACATGAGCGATCACCGTCCAAGAAGACAAGTTGCTAACTATATGATTTGTATGTCACATGTCAGAGCTTGCAAGGCTTTTTTTTGTGATGAACAGACATAATACCGAACCTGTAATATGTTTATATGCTGCACAAAAAACATAAACATACTTTGGGTTGCATTCAGTGCCCTTTCTGACCATCCAGGATGCCATGAACCGTGCGAGAGTCTTCGTCCAAGAGATGTTTGGCCACAATGAGAGGTGCTGAAGACGTGCACGATGTTTCTGTTCTGGGAGACTTCTGCTGAATACCAAAAGTTGCCAAAGCAGCTTGTAAAACTGATGTCCATTCCCCTTTCTGGTTGTTTCATGTCGTTTTTGGTGCGAATCGGTTTGACATAGTACGAGGTTCTCATCCGAATTTAGAGGACAGATGTTTTGTTCAACAAACCATTGTGCATGTCTCAGGGCCAATGCAACTAATTACACCGAAGGGCGACGCTGTTGGATTGCTACAGTAGTCAAGAGACATCAAAGGGGGCTATATTCCGCATGGCAAGACGCTCGCAGCTTTTGCGTCCCACAATACACTGCTGCTCGGCACTATATTGAAAAGACAAGTGGCGAGGAACAGTAGAACGTCGCGATCAGGCACCCAAGTGGCTGGTCATATTGCCATGCTGATGTGCTTTTCCTGCACAACCATCGAAGAGCCTCCAACAATGAAGCAGACAAGCCTTGACATCAGTTCTATCTCTTCGTGAGGATGTCATGAAACTTCTTTCAGATTATAGCACTGATGGCATTTCCTGGTTTCTATGTCGTAGTGCCATCATATGAATTCAAATGTTACACCATCAACAAACTTTTCGTTCAATCCTGAATCCTGGACACCCGTTGTTTGCTCAGTGGGAACTTCAGAGAGCCCGGTGCCATTACGCATCTGGCAAAACGCCCCGGACCTCTGAACGGTCCAGGTATCCCAAGAGCTTTGCCATGGGCACCGATGGGGCGGTTCCCTGCGACACCAGCACCATGAAGACCGCCATCCCAGCGGATGCGCAGTGGCCCGGCGGGAGGATCAGGTCCGCGGAGACCCGCGGCGACTGGTCTTCTGCTGGCCATTGGGATGTGTTGTTGGGGTGGGCGGGCTGCCCTGATGGGTGGCAGTGGATTCACGTTTGACGATTCCATGGAAAAGATAACTGCTACCCAACTCTGCGCCGGAACTTGTTCACCCCCTGTATGGTGAATCAACATATTCTTCAACACCCTTCACAACCCGTGCAAGCATGCATATATACATACATCATTATGTAATATATGTTTATAATATGCATATGTTAATTTGTATTATTCATCATATTCCATTCATTGGAGCCTGGAGCATGTTTCCTGAGGTTTTGGGCTTTGCTGGCCGGCGTTGAGAACACCAAGGAACGCCAGGCATTTCGCTTTTGTTTTGAGGGCGGCGAGGGTTGTTTTTTGGGGCTATCAAGGGGTGTTTTATTGCGGATTATAGTTGTGGTATGTCTTTTAATTGTTGTGTGCTATTCCTTTTTCGAAGCAGGTATGATTCTGAACTTTTCAGAATGGGTTCTTGCTAAAATTGAGAGACTGAGGTTATCAAGCGGGGTTGCGTTTGCTGTTGTTTCACTTGGGGAGATCCGACGGAACCATCCCTGGCCGCTCTAGTTTTACATCGAGGAATACGATAACTCCAAAATGATCCAAAATGATTGTGGTGCCATGGGTCATGGCTTGTTTGCTTAGATGTAAGGTATATACTGTATATTATAATAGATAACTGCATTCTACTTAAAACTGTCTAGCAGGTCAGTCGCATGTGTGCGTTTTCACACCAGTTTCAATTGCCCTCAGTTTCGGGAACCGGCTCGTTGGAACGCAGGAATAGCCTCGTTTTGGAATCCTGGAGATTAGAAAATGGAGCGCGTGTCTTGTAGGTTCCATGTGTTTTCTTTTCTGGTCAGTCTTGGTTGTTGTTTGTTTTTTGTTCTGTTGTTTCCTTTCTCTCTGAGTGGTGGTGTTTCAGTTGTCTTTTTGCTGGTCGTGTTGTTGTCTTTTGTGTCTCCCCAGGACGGAATCTGAGGCTGCTTTTCAGCGCAGCATACCCTTGGTGACCCACCCGAGAGTAAAATTTCCAAAATAGCATACGTTTTGTGAGCTTGGGGTAAGATTTAGGAGAGGAAGGCACCATTCCAACGTAATTAGCATGCCTTTTTTAGTCGTGCGGAGCTTTTTTTTGCTCAAATCGTGTTGATATAGAGCGCATGTGTGATGTGGGCCGCGAGATTGAATGGCATATCCCGAGGACAAAATGTAGAAAAGGAAGGAGATAGGCCAATGTGGCACACCTTTTGTAGGCCACTCGAGGCTAAACATTTAGAGCAGGAGGGAGCAAGTCCAACGAAAAGAAAGGAATTTGTTCCTTTTCGAGGAGCTGCCCAACCCCGTCCCGCACCATGAAATCTGCACCTCTTTGAAGAGCGACACCCCTGTCCGAGCTTTTCTATCATTTTTTCATGTTTTTCTTGTGTCCGAAGGGCAGCTTTAGTGGCCGGTGGCTTAGCTTTAAACACCATCTTTGGCCCATGGGAGGGTGGAATAGCGACAAGTGAAGTGCCACGTGAACCAGGCCTGGCCACGCACTCGATTTTTGACCTAAGAATACTGAGTTGGAATGTACGAGGTGCCCTGAGTGTGCCCAGCCGTCAGGAAGCTCAAAACGACCGTATTTGGCAGCTGGTTACAGCCTTGCATACCTCCCAAGTCTCCATAGCCATCATCAGTGACCCATGCTTTGGCCCCGGCATGTGTTGGCCCCAAAGATCTGGCTATGAGTTTTTTGGTGAACGATCTGTCCGCAACAATACCGTGGCTCCCCTGATTTCTACAGACTTTCTTGACAAAGTCAGTGTGTTAGCTCAAGTGGGGGATGCGCGGGCAATGTGGCTCCATGTCCACATCCCGGTGGGCAATGCGCGTGGTTTCCTTCTCTTGGCAACTTATGCCCCTCCCCCCAACCGTAGCCCGCTCGAGCGCCGTGAGTTTTTTGAGGCGCGAGCTGCTGACCTCCAAAAACTCCGCACTGAACGACTTTCTTCATCATTACCTATTATTATGGCAGGTGATTTGAACATCCATATAGCAGAACTTTGTGATAAAAATGCACGACTGGAAAGACCCGTTGATCGAAAGATTGCCGCCATGATCGTCAGCACTGTGGGCATGAACCTGGTTTTGCGGAACCCTTCCCAGATCGCCACACATGATTCGGGTTCTGCCATTGATTTAGTCTTTTCTTCGCATGAAATCACACCGGTGGTTGAAGTCTTGCCTAAAACGGAATTTCTTTTTTCTTCTGATCATCGACCGCTCCTAATTACAGATGTTGGGAGTATACCCCATGCTGAACGGCAGACCTTTGGCAAGGCAAAGTGCCCTCCTTCCAGTGATGCTTGGAATGAGGCACTCTTGCATGTCCCCTTGTGCTTGGAGTATTTCTGTACATGGGCTCGGATGATTTTACGTGAAAATTTGCTCCGGGATTCATTAGTCGATGGGAAATGGCAACGTCTCCGGCAAGCAGTTGTCGACAGAGCCGTTTGGTGGCGCTCTGTTGTTCTTTGCTTAGCCGGTCACATGTGTGGTCTGGCCGTCACTGTCAAACCACATTCCTCAACCTATGGGTCCCAGGCCTTTCAGTTGGAAAAGTTTTTGCTTGAATGGTATGGTCCTCAGTGCCTGAGCAACACGATTGAATATGAGGAGTTTGTATCTCAGGTTGGTAGAGCTGGTAGCCCCTCTTTGGTTCGGCACTTTCTTGACTCCCACGCCACGGACCCCAGCAGGGCGCAGCTCTTTTGAGCATGTTGCTCAAACCAAGGGTTGCTACAGAGGTCAACTTTGTTGATGAAGCATCTGGCCGCAGGGCCTCTGATAGCACTGTTGTACAACTCTTGACGCAAGAAATCCTTGAGCGGCCTAGCCAGGCTCATCCAGGCATTCTGCCAGGCAGGAAGCGGCCACTGAACCTCACATGTTTTTTGCATTTGACGACGTCAAGCGGTGGGTGAGTGACATTTCTCGACATAAGGCTTCATTAAGATTTCCCAGAGCTGCTTTGGTAAATGAGAACCCCTTAGGGCTCGAACTCTGCTGGCTTTTACTCAATCTCTTTATGGCCCTGGGCCTCGTTCCATCGGCATGGATGCGCGAGGTGAGTTTCATCAGGAAACGGGCCCCCAGGTTGTTACGGAGATGAAAAATCTTAGACCGATCAGCTATGCTGACGAACTTCAAACTCTATTTGATTTGGCCTGGTTGCATTCTTGCCGCCACCTTCTTGAAACCTACATTGGCCAAGAACAAGCCGGAGGCCGATTTGATAGTACTTTGGTTTCTTTAGGTATTTTGATTGCGCTGCAGACTCGTCGGAATTGGTCTCTACCAACATTTTGTCTCAAAGCTGATCTTCTCCAAGGTTACGATCTGGCATGGAAGTCAGCAATGTTACTTCACACCCGATGGGCTGGCATTCGTGGTTCGTTGTGGTTGTGTCTTGACTCCGCTGTACAGCAGGATCATTTTCGCATCCGTTACGGGCCACTGGTTGGCCCTGCCATTCTTTTAGTCACTGCTGGACTTGGACAAGGTGGCCGTCGTGCTGTTCATCTTTTTGGTGCCTTGGCCAGAGGTATCCCGGACCAGCTGCGCCAGAGTGTCATTGGTGTCTCCCTTGGCACCCCTCCCATTTTGTTGGATCGACTACGGCTGCACAGCAGAGCGTCCGGCGACGTTGAGGTTAATATCGTACCCTACTTAGTTCAGGCATGTCGTGGAACTGCCCCACTGTTACATTACTCTACCTTGCTTCGCTCCACGAATTTGCAGACAGCCTTGGTTGCCTTGGACGTCCTAGCCACCCACTCCTTGCTAGCTTTTCAATTTGTTGATGACGTTTTTGTTTTTCTATCCACGCTGTGGGGCATGAATCGAGTATGTTAGGCCTTGGAACAGTTTTTGCAATTGTGGAAACACAGGTTTGCTGCTGGCCCAAGCAAGGTGGCCTTGATGTTGGTTCCGGCTAGTCTACCTAGCTCCACTAACCTTCCCAGTCTCGATGGGGCTGCCATTGGTTTGGTTTCCTCTTTCAGTGTGCTTGGGCAAACCTTTGACAGCAATGTTAGCTTCGCACACTTGCTTGAAGTCACGTGCGCTCGTTTTATACAGCAAACCTCCCAGCTCTGTGTCTCCCTACGTGATCTAGGCATTGGGCTCCCTCACCACACTCAGCAGGTGGCCATAAGGGTTGAAAGCTCAGTTTTACATGGCACTGAACCCCTGGCCAGTGCAGCAGTAGGGTGGCTGCAGGTGTCTAAACGTCTTAATGCAGCGCACTATAGGGCCTTGAAAGCCATACTGGCTATTGAGGGCGTTTCCCTTGCCTCAGCAAACTATGCCCGGGTCTTGTGTGCTTTAGGTATTGACCTACGTCTTGCTACCAAGGTGGCTTTGCGGATCTTGTCCGCCAGGGCTAGGTTGCTTATGGTGCCCAGTCACAGTGCCATTCCCGGCATCCTGGAAGGAGCACGGCGAGTGCCCGGAGCGACGTGGTTAGATGATTCCTTGGCATTGGAGCACAGATTTGGGATCTCTGAGGACTTCATTGAGTTTGCTCAGCATGTGGCTCCAACGATCTCCATTAAACCTAAGGTGCACCTTTCGATACGGACGGCTGTACTTCCCAAACTCCTGCAATTTGATCGCGACTGGCTTGCATCGCAGAAGCAAAATTTATTTCCTTGGCTGCATGATGCTTCTTTGGAGAAGAAAGTCTTGGCGATACTTGCATCGGCCCACTGGAGTAAACGTGAGTGGCTTTATACTCGAGCTTGGTACCTCTCCCGCCTTTCTGGGCAAGTTCCCTTTGGTGTGTTTGGCCACCAAAGCTTTGACGTGGATCTCGGCTGCCCTCACTGTAATCACCCACTTACTTTGGCCCATCTGCTCCATCGGTGCACGGCCGTGGTCTCCCATGCTTTGCGCTGGGAGTGGTGGCTTGAACCGGTGCTTGAGTTGGAGCCTCTGCATCAGAAGATCCTCCACGTTGGTCGCTGTACTGCTCAGGTTCATGCGGCTTTGAAAAAATTGCGACCTCAGGTGCATTACGACGTGTCGCGGGTTTGCTCTCTTTAGATTAAGCTGTTTTTTTTAGTGAAGGCAGCATGTTTGCAGCGTTTTTGGCGCCCACATGTGCTCTGGTTGAGGCCCTTTGTTTTTTCCTTTTCATCTTCATCTCCACCACTCCGGCCATGTTTGGCGCAAGTGGAAAAAATGCTGCGAGGCACCATCTGACGTGTGCCACCCCAGCCGCCCGCCATAGGGCGTCCACCTAACAGAGCCTAACAGAGCTTGTCCAAAACGAGAAAAACCTTGCGGGTGTGTGTGTGTGTGTGTTCTCCAAAATGATCCTAATCACGTGCTCCAAAATGATCCTCTTCCCGCTCAGTTTCTAAGACTGATATGGAAAACCTGGAATTGTTTGGAGGTCTAGAAATGCAGAGGTCTAGGGGTCTTGAGATCCAGAGAGATCTAAAGGAAAGGCCGACATGGAGGTCTAGAGTTTGAGAGGTCCAGAGGTCTAAAAATCCAGAGGTCGAGGTCTTGAGATCCAAATGATCTAGAGGTCTAGGTATATGGATTCTATAAGGGGTCTAGAGATCGACTTGCAAGTTTAGAGTTCTAGAGATTTGGAGGCCTAGAGACCTAGAGGTCTAGAGTAGAAACCTAGAGGTCTAGAGCTCTAGGGATGCAGAGGTCTAGAGGCAGAGAGATCGTCCAGAGAAGACCAGGTGGTCGAGAATGATCCGAAATCTGGTATTTTTGAGCCAAAAAGTACCTAAGACCCTTGGAAGCTCATGGGAGATCTAGAGGTGGAACCCAGATTTCTAGAGGTTGAGATAGACGTCTAGAGATCTTGGAGCCAAACTCTAGGGGTCTATAGGTCTTCGGGCTCCAGGTCTTGAGATCCAGACAGTTCTAGCAGTCTGGAAAGATCCGCGCGGGCCGAGATTGAGGTCTAAAGGTGGAGACCTAGAGAATCATAGATCCGAAGTCTTGAGATTGAGATGACGAAATCTGCACATCAGTCTGCACATTGAAGTAGAACCGCTCCGATCTCATGCACCTGTCGACACGAAAGCTTTGAACCACCAAAACACGAGGTTTCCCTTGCGTCTGCCACCAAAAGTGACACCAAGTCCAAACATGCACAAGGCACCACAACGAGCGCGGTCGAAGAATGCACCCGCTCGAGACCAGCAGATTCTGCACGCCTGCGCATGCAGTCGAAATGCATGTTGAAGATCTTGAGGTGAATATGCACCATAAATAGCAGCGGATTAGCCGGAACGCCACCTCGTTCAGACACCGACACCGGCCTTAACTCTTACCGTAAGAGCCCGTAGTGTGACCACACTGTTCGGGGAACTACCTGTTGGAAGCAGTGCTCTACGATTTTTTCTGGATTCGTTTCTTTTTTACGTGTCTTTTCAGACGTTGTAGTTTGCTTGATTTATGTTGATTTGCCGTCACCCGCTCAATCTTTGGAATTTCTAGGGAGGTTTCTTAGGAATTTGTGGTCTTCCGAACCCGCGAAGGATAAGGAGGCCAACTACGAAGTACAGATGTTTGAGAAATGCCTGTACCAAGTGTCTGATGGGTCTGATGGGCGACCTGGATTCCGGTCAACGATGGACACCGCGCAGGTCTCCGCCCTGGAAGACTCCTTGCAATCTGTGGAGGATGGGGGCATGCTCACCACTGATGAGGACGGGGAAGCAACCGGGGGTGGAGGGGATGGATTTTGAAAGGATTCAATTACCCTTCCTGGAACTAACATGGAAGTCGAAGGCACAACCGGTTTGGTATGCGGAACATGGTCATCCTTGCAACCATGCCATCCACATAGGTATGATAAGTTCAGGGAGGGTGAACATGCTTCAGGGTTTCTGCGCCACTGACGCCATCGGAAGTTTTGGACATCGACCACCAGGGCTTCCCACTGGAGTTTGTTGGGATAAGCATGGATAAGTGATCAGGTGGTTGCGCACCAGTTCTTGGGTGTAGCTGCTACATGTTCTTAAGACATATATATATATATATATGGAAATAATGGTTTCATGCTGTTTGCACCCGTAAAGGTCCCATGAGTGGATGGGAAGTGAAGTTCTATGGGGTGCCTCATGGCCCCATGAGGCCCCCTGCATGTTCTGTGAGCTGATTCTGTCAAGCTTCGCAGTTGCCGGCCCTGGTGGTTCAACACCAGCCCTGATGCAGTCTGCAGCACTGGATGTTTGCCCAAACTTGCACTCCAGATGTGTTCTGTCAGTGTGATCTCGGCGGTGTCAGGTGAGACACTTGTTGTTCTGGATGAATGTGAGGGCAAAAGTGCCAAAGAAATCAAGCAATCATTGGCCTCTCAGATCGGAGTTTGCAGATTCCGGCAGAGACTCTTCGACTTCCATGACGTGACCCACGAGATTCCAGATGATGAGGTCTTCACCGAGGTTTGGGTCAAGGTCCAGCTGTTGGTCTTGGACTTTTGGCGCCCGGATTTGGAGGAAGACCACAAGATGATGCTTGCATCCAGAAACAATGATTTCACAGCACTTGAGCGTTTGCTTCTATGGCCTCGAAACCCCAACGTGACAGATGGAGATGGCCTAACACCTTTGCACCACGCAGCCTCGAACGGACATGCGCGAGCTTTGCACCTGTTGCTTGAAGCGGGGGCATCAAAAGATGCCCGTGACACACGGGCTCCAGGTTGGACTCCACTGCTTTTTGCAGCTTCAGATGGCCATTTGGATTGCGTTGGTTTGCTGATTGAGGCTCGGTCTGACATCAACAAAGCCAGCACAGACTGTGGAGCAACCCCTTTGTTCACCTCTGCTGAGTTTGGCCAGGTTGAAGTTGTTCGCTTGCTAATTGAGGCT